CACGCCCAGCCTCAGCCTTTTTCTTTTTAAGTTTTCTTTGTGATGCCAAGGAGTAGGCTTGGAGTAGTGGAAGGCAGAAATGCAAGGAAGACAGATGCATTAGTGCTCAGCAACTATACCACGTGTGTTACATGGAGGAAAGAAATGGAGGGGAGCTCTAAGAGGCAGCACCTAGAAGAGCGGCTTCTGACTCTGAAGGCTTCATGGATGGAGGAGGTGGCAGCTAAGCTGGGGAAGGGTACAGGGGGTCCTATTGGCCAAGCTCAGCACTATCCTGTTGCCCAGAGCCCACTCAGTAGCCGTCTATATTTCCATCTCCTGGAAGGAACCCCCCACTGTCTCCCACCCCTAGGCCATCCTATGTCCCCCCACCACCTCCCTGTGGCTGGGGCTCACAGGAAGCGTAAAAGTCACCCTGGCTCCATCTCCTTCCAGGTTCAAGTATGTCCTGGTCAACATGTCCACGGGCTTGGTAGAAGATCAGACCCTGTGGTCAGACCCCATCCGCACCAACCAGCGTAAGTGGTGGGCCGTGGTGGGGGTGATGCTCAAGGGACCCGAGAAGGCAGGGCCAGGCATGGCGGTGAGAATCAAGGCTCATCTGTTCCTGTGAAAGCCTCCCAGGCCAGGCGGTGATGAGTAAAATACTCCTCAAAGCCGTTGATCCAGGCCAGGCGTGGTGGCTCACACCTGTAATCCCAGCCTTTGGGAGGCTGAGGCAGGTGGATCACGAGGTCAGGAGATCGAGACCATCCTAGCTCACCCGGCGAAACCCCGTCTCTACTAAAAATACAAAAACATAATTAGCCGGGCGTGGTGGGGGCACCTGTAGTTCCAGCTACTCTGGAGGCTAAAGTGGGAGAATAGCGTGAACCCAGGAGGCAGAGCTTGCAGTGAGCCGAGATTGCGCCACTGCATTCCAGCCTGGGCGACAGAGTGAGACTCCATCTCAAAAAAAAAAAATACAAAAATTAGCTGGGCGTGGTGGTGCGTGCCTATAATCCCAGCTACTCGGGAGGCTGAGGCAGGAGAATTGCTTGAACCAGGGAGTCGGAGGTTGCAATGAGCCAAGATCATGCCACAGCACTCCAGCCTGGTGACAGAGCTAGACTCTGTCTCAAAAAAAAAAAAAAAAAAAAAAAAAGGGGTCGTTAAACTTGGAACTTCCTCCTTCCTCCTTTCCATCCTTGAGGGCCAGGTGTGGGAACAGATCAAGGTGGAGGCCTTGGTGGCATTTGGGCTGCGGATGGGTGTAAGTGGATCAAAGCTGACCCATCCCTCCATCTCTCCAGCCCTTGCAGTGGGTTGGCCTCAAAGGCTCACGGAGCTGACCTGGCATTTAGGTCCTAGCCAGCCCCTTTGCTAAATCCTCATAGCAGCAAGCACCGGTGGCCAGGTGAGATGGCTCCAAGGCCTAAAACTAAGATAGTGAAGGCAGCAAGGAACGAGTCTGCCTCCCTGCACTCCTACTCCTTAGCACCTGGGCAGCTGTCCTGGGGGTGGAACGCCAGGGTCCTGCCCCGTTCCTTGCTCCGCAGAGACCCGAAGTTTACACGGAGTTGAGTCTGCTGAATGGCAGGGGTCATGCCAGGGACTCTGATGGTAATTTTGAGTGAATGATACCCTAACTTAAGACCCCCTCCCGCCACACCTTAGCCCCTAAGACAAGGCTGTCTGGCAGGATGGGTGTCAGGGGGCTGTGCATTTCACCTGCAGAGCCTCCTGCCGTGCCCGTGTGCACCCCCCAGGGGCGTGGGGGGCTCCGAAAGGTTGCCTGAGGTCACACACGAGTGGGTGGTAGAAAGCCTTGTGTGTGTGTATGTGGGTGCCTGTGCCTGTTGTGGTATGTGTGTGTGTGTGTGTGTGTTTGTGTTGTGTGTGGTGTGTGGTATCCGTATAATGTGCATGTAGTTTACGGTGTTGTGAGTGGTGCTTGAATGTGAGAATGTGTGCGGTATGTGGTGTGTGGAGAGTATGTGAGGAATGTGGTGTGGGTGAGTGTGACAGTGTGTGGCGTATACCAGGGGTCCCCAACCCCTGGGCCATGGACCAGTACCAGTCCATGGTCTGTTAGTAATGGGGCTGCACAGCAGGAGGTGAGCATCTGCATTTGCAGCCGCTCCCTGTGGCTCGCCTTACTGCCTGAGCTCCGCCTCCTGTCAGGTCAGCAGTGGCATTAGAGTGTCACAGGAGTGTGAACCGTGTTGTGAACTGCGCATGCCAGGGATCAGGTTGCATGCTGCTTGTGAGAATCTAATGCCTGATGATCTGTCACTGTCTCCCATCACTCCGGATGGGACTGTCTAGTTGCAGGGAAAACAAGCTCAGGGCTCCCACTGATCCTACATGACGATGAGTTGTGCAATCATTTTATTATATATGGCAATGTAATAATAATAGAAATAAAGTGCACAATAAATGGAATGTGCTTG